AGCCCCCCCGCCCCCCCCCCCCCAGCCCCCCCCCCCCCCCACCCCCCCCGCCCCCCCTCCCCCCCCCCCCCCCCCCCCCCCCCTCGCCCCCCCGCCCCCCCCCCCCCCCCCCCCCCCCCCCCCCGCCGGGTGGCTCCGCAGCGAAGCGGTTATCTACCACTTTACCTCTATGAGCTCTGTAGGCACGATGTATTTATCTGCCTATAAGAACTGCAGATATGCATATAATATCTACTTGGATACCTACCCAACCTTTTAAGGTACATGCGAGATATCTATATACCTAGTACAGATTTTATACCGTCTTACAGTGCGCAAAACAGAGCGTACCTAAGAATAATTTATTAAGCATCTAACATTCTATAAATAGGTGTAGGTACCTAATAGCCACTAACGGCGAAGTTACATGGTATTGTCAAACTAAATTCGAACTAATGGGCTCTCCCGTTCATAATACAAAATATCTAACTTCACTTTTATTACTTACAAAACTATTTTATATGAACATGTATACTTTGTTAATTCTTCAAATTCATTCTAGAGTTATCTGGGATACCTTATAACGTTGTGGTCTGCACTTCGTAGTCACGTACGAATATGTTGTGTCAGTATTTTCAGGGTAGTAAATTTCATACCGTTATAAGGGTGTATAGCTCCGGCCAAGCTCAAGCTAAAAGCAAGGCGACTTAGGTACGGGCCCAGGGATTAGAAGCCTACCTATAATCAAAGGTATTAAGAATGATCCCTCCCCCTGTATGAGGTTACAATCCGTAAGGAGTCTCTTTCAAGTTTAGAAAAAGCACATCGGGTGGTATCCAGAAATCAGATGGCCTATCTATTTAGGAAGTTCTATTAATGGCCTTATGCAACATAGGGTATATCTCTCCGCCGGCTATGCAACGAACTCCAACCTTACTAGGTACCTAGTCATTCCATCGTATGTTTTCTATGTACATTTCAATTCACCTGTCTCTTTTCTTTAGAGGGTGATAATATCCAGCTCCGAGAAGTCTGGAGGGGCACGGCCGTATACCACCCGCACTTTGCTGTCGAGTGCCGTGCCCTCGTTGGAAATCCAAATATGTTCGCTGAACTCCCTCGTCCTTCTTATCTCATCGTCACTCACTCCTAAGTCATCGCGAGGAATCCACACAGTTGGCCGCTTTGCACGCAAGGCCGAATGCATAAACGCACGCTTAACAAGTACGTCTCTTTCTTCCGGCATAAGATCCTCAATTTCATCGTGAAATCCGCCATACAGGGCCTCGCCGATGGCCCTCTGCGCTTCGAGATCCTTCTTCCGACGCTCTTCACGATATTTGGCGACATTCTTAAACCCCTTCTCCGCTATTCCAAAAGTACGATCATAAGTAGTTTTACCGCCGCGAGCTGCCCAGGTACCGGCGTGGACAATGCCCTTAACAGGCTTAAAATTGGTAAATTTATTACCTCGCCCCGTCTTGTCATCAGCACCGTCCATAGAATTAGTCTGGCTCCCACCTTGCTGTCTCGGCGAGTCCTCCTTGTCGGACGCATCATCGTCGCGATTATCAATACCTAGACGGCGTTCCTGCGCACGCCGGAATGCCTCATCCCGCAGAACCGCCTCGTCTTCGAAGGTGATCGGTAGGTATCGAAATAATGGCCCAAAGGACTGATTCAGAAGAATTTGGTATATGCCTGTTAGGAAAATCGTAACAATCATGATGATAGCTTGCGGTGCGCATGCAACTTCGCCAAACTCATCTCTGACGAGGAAAAACAAGCCGACAAGGCACAACTCCATCACGTAAAGCCCTGTAAAGGTCTGGTTGATGGCCTGTGGATACAGCACGCCACCGGTGTCAATCGTGAAGCGGTTCACGTATATCATGGCGTACCTATTTGCCATCCACAAGAGACTAAATGTGATAATGGCAAAGATGGAAATGATCGGGGCGACCACTGAATAGATTAACGCAATGCAGGCGAAATTGGTATAGACAGGGAAGGTTGTTCCCCAGTTCACTTCAGGCAGCTTGGTATTAGTGAACCACTTATTTCGGGCCGTGTTATTCATAATCCTCGCAAGGATGTACCAGTTGATGAGAGCTCCGATTTGTAGTAAAGTACCCGAGCTCACACTGAGGGCCTGAAGAATCATGTAAGAGAAGAAATAGTTGGCGGCCTTTGGTAAGTTTTCGGCTAAGAGATCCGCAATCCCAGTGGGGTTATTTGCAAGATAATCAAGCGTTTGGAGGACGCCTGAAGCTAAGGAGACGACCAAGAATACTTGGACGAAGAGGAACGCGAAATAAAACTTCTGAACCGTTTCCGTTTTTTGGGCCCCAGTCTTGGCTCCTTTAAAGCCAGCAAGGAAGCCCATGATAATCGGAACTAACCAGAGAAGCAGAGCAAGCAAAACGGCTGGCAGAACACCAGTAACACCAGACACAATGTTGTGGATAGTTTTGTTCTCGTCGATGAAACTTAGCCAGGGAAAGGTGTCTGTCAGCGTACTAACTTGAGAGATTGAGGAGGTGAAGGCAACTGGGAACGCCCAAAGAAGAATCATGCCGGCGACAATAGCCACTGCAGCAGCGGTCCGAAGCCATTCAGCCCACCAGCTGATAGCCATGTTTTCCCAGAGCACATCGTTAGGAGATATTTCCACAGTGCGAGGAGCCATATGTCTCGGAATATGATGGGTGACGCTCTGGCAAGCCATATGCGCAGCGACTTGATGATTAAATTGAATGAAGGCCGACTTCATCAGTGGATACCGCTCTGGGTTCTTCTGGTCGATGTCAATCTCCAAATTCAACCTCGCCAATTCCTGCCTACACCAGTAGATGGTATCGACTTTCTTGTTGAGAAAAGGGAGCCCGGGTAGCCAGGAAGGAGTCCACTCAAAGATGGCAAGACGATGTGTCGGACGCTTGGATTTCTTAACCCATTTTTCCCACTCCGCTCCGCCGTCCTTATCTTCCAGCCATTCCTCATTGTAGGCTTTGGGGTATTCTATCGGCTCAAGCTCCGGACCACCAAGAAACGGAATGAATGGCTTAATTTTTTCTAAGAGCGACTTCTCCTTCCTGAATGGAACATCGTCTCCTTCGTATCCCTGGGGAACAGGTGACACGTATCCACCTGCTGGAGGCTTCCAAAACTGATACCATCGTATGGTGTCGTGTTGCTGCATATCCTCAAGGGTATCAGCTTTGCGAGTGGTATTCCCGAAATGTTGCATCTCGACGCTCTCTCCTTTTAGTATGGTATCCTGGGAAACCGTAGAACAATTGCGATAATGCTCTGCTTGAGATGTAGGGGGCCCCATTACACGGTCTTCGGGATGATTCGAGTTCTGGGTTGACGGCCTGGGAAGGTCTTTCTCGTCTGGCAGCTGAACATGACGACGATCCGATCCTCGCGTGGGGGAAGTTGGCGATGGGCCCCGTGGCGTTCCTATTGCTACGAAGCCGTTTGTTGTTTCAATTTGGCTATCGATGCCATGCGAAATATTCCTAGCGCCTCCAAGTATTTCCTGTCCAGTCTTACCCATCACATCAACACCCTTTCCAAATCCGCCAGTTAGTTTCGAGAACCCACTCGCTACAAAGCTGCGCCCGGTAGATGGCCTCTGGTCCTCGTTGCGATGCTCAGTCTTGACCTCTGCCTCGGCATCGCCCAAATCGTGTGCGACCTCGTGCCGATCACCGCTGCTTATGCCTTGGTTGCCTTCGGCTTGCCTTTTCGCTGCGTCGTCTTCCCTCTTTTGGCGTTCCTGTCTCTCTCCTTTAGTGGGTCGATGTGATTTAGATGCTTTGCGCGCCTGTTTTTCATCCGCCTCCCTCTTCTTCAGTTGCTCTTTCTTCGCCATCCGAATAAGTTCCGTCTGGGCTTCCTCTAGCTGTTTGTGAATCATATCACGTTTAGAGATCTTCTCTAAAAGGTGCGTCAAATCTCGCGTGAGCCATACGTTTCGAAGTCCTCCCGGGAAAACATCAAAGAGGCCTCTGAGAGCCTTCTCGTTGAGCCATTTGTCAGGAATACCGCTAACTAAAACAGTTGTCGCAGAAGCTCGTAGACGGTGTTCGGCGGTCGTTAGCCAGTCCTGGCGGACTTTGATGTAAACCCTCAGTTCGGCGAAGAAGACGCCACAAACCCATATGATAACCAAGACCGCCATGATGAGATGCGCCCAGTATCTGTTAGTCTGGTCTTTTCTTACATTGCCCCATGCCAACGTATCCAAACCGGTAATGTTAGATTTGGGTGCGCTAGGGTCGCTATAATCAGCGCCCTGAGGGTCAGTAGAATTGAGACTCTCGGAAGTATTTGCTGAGAAATTGCGACTGAGTCCGCCAACGTAATTGACTGGCACCAGGATCGGAATTATAACGACAGCCATAGGTATGAATATGACGAGTAAAGTCTGCAGGTATCGGAGAAAGAAGTATGCATCCAGACCACATTTCTTAATAACCTCGCGATCTGGGAAGCGGAATACAGTACTAACCAAACCCCATGGGCTACTCGGTGGAGGTTCAGTTCGCTCTCGTTCTGGTACAAGGTATGTTTTAGGCTTGCTGTTGGAAATAACTTATTAGCGTACGGTTTAAGAAAAGAATAAGGTTTGGTCAGGTAGGTAGGTTTGGGTAGATCAGGGGACCGCATACAATATCCTGGAGAGCTTATTTCTCAGTAACAAGAAGAACCCTGTCTGAACGCCAAAGACTATTAACGAGACGTTCAGGGCAGTAACAAAAGCTATCAGAGTGATGCCCTGATTACGCTGGGCTGTGCCGCCCTGATCTAGATAAATTCGTTAGCACCATATGCAGATCTAAGACAAATTGGTATAAAAGTATCGTAGCCTACCCCCTGAATCCGCCATGTTAAGCCTCTAGGTCGGGTAATGACCTAAAATGTACCCCGAGATATTTGTTACAATATCGACTTCTTCATACACAACTTAGATCGAGGAATGGAGAGGGTGGAATAATAGGTAAAGGGTCAAAGTAGTTTAATAAGAAGTTCGTAGTTGTGTTGAGAAATTAATATTGCGACAATGACAATGACCATGGCAATAGCGATTAGATACCTGGGAGGTACGTATGTATTGTATGTGTTGTAGGTTAACGTAGGTGGCGCTGACAGCGCAGGGAAGTAAATAGTGAATACTATCGTAGTTTTATTGTGAACTGAACGAACAGGACAATATCTACGGGTAGGAATAAATGTGTGGGAATTGATTCAAGGGAGAGGAACAACAACAACATTATCGAAGTTGAAGTCGAGATAGTTACGAAAAAAAGAAAAAAAAAAGAATTTGGAATAATAGAACAGGTAATTCATAGACAAGGAGAAAGCGGCGGTTAGATTGAATTTAGAAGTTCTATCGATTTGATGGGACTTTGCGCGATGCGTCAACTTTCCCTACTATGTATTAGTATGTAAACCCTGCCTGATATATGACAAACATTAACCAAGTACCACAACAGGTTTCAGGTACAGAAAATACGGCGTCATAAACAGCGTAAGCAAGTCATTTTTCAGGTACCGCTACTATTGAGTGGTACTAGTGATACAGAATATCTGCAGACCTCTCCACACTTGGGTGTGCTCCCTCCCTCTAGTATCCAATGGACGCGCGAGTTTTATGGTTCTACAACAAAAAATTAAGAGAGTGATGTCAGAGGCGCCTGCTCTAAATGACTTGGCAGCACAAAACCCCTGAGAGGGCCCACTTTGATAATGCCCAAATTCTTTTTTTTCTTTTATCAGCTTTGCCGCTCTGCCGTTACTAGCGCTACTATGTAAACGCTTCACATTTCTAACAAGTTACCCAACACATCGGTTGTGATTGGACCCAACTCACGCGCGGCTGTTTCCTTTTTTCTTATTCCTTACCATACCTATGCTTTGACGAGACGTAGGCTTGTAGTCCCTGCTCTCGTTGGACTTGTAATTGGCTGCATTTAGTTCGGGATATTCCTAAAGCACGACAAGTGGTTGGCTTTGTCTCTGAACAAATAACCATAACTACCCAAAGATCAAAAGTAGGTCTTGGCCATTCAGTGGAGCAGCTTACGAAGCGGGTTTGAGCCAGCTCTGTTCTTGGACGACCTGACTAAGAAGCACATCGTCATCAAAGTCAACCCAGAAATTGACACCGCAGGATATGAAGTCTATGCTTCTTGGTTGATGTCTTTGAGGCCTCGTCCGATCTACAGGGGTTGAAGGCTCATGTCATGATTGCACAAGTCCCATTGTGGCTCTTGAAAGCACGGCAAATCGGCACAGATAGAGACTAAAGGGGTTTGGGTTCGCATTTTGCACACTAGGAATACCGAGGAATCATGTCTTCCAAAACCGATTCGTATCATTTCTCTGAATCTTGTGTGCTGTATGAGAGCCCAGACCGATCTATTGTTCTTATAGACATTCCCCATTCTATTGAAGAGGCGCAACTATTACCGGGACAGATCCCTAAGCAACGTATTATCTCTTGCAGTCCGATAGAAACGCCGTGGAAAATACCCGAGCCCAAAAAGAAAAGCTCGGAGCAGTTGACAACACCTTCCGCAAGTATAGCTGAACTGATGACCCAAGAAGCCGTCAGGTCAGCACTTGAAAAGGCCAAGCTGAACTACAAAGGCTTATGGTGTTTGCCGCGTGTTGTACAGGATGCAGGTGAATTGTGTGATGATAAGTCATATATTAAAGAGTCGCAAAAGAGGAAGCGAACTACGGACACGCCGGCCGACGTGATACCGGAGTCTCTCATTCCAGATCAATCACACTATCTCTTAGGAACCATAGAGTCTCGGCGAGGAGCCTTTATCGCAGACGCCCCCATGTTCGATTTAATTGTTCTTGATCCACCGTGGCCTAGTCGATCTGTAAAGCGGAAACAAAACAGCTACACTATTGCGTATAACATGCAAGAAGTTAGGGATCTCTTAACTCACATACCCATCGCGTCACACCTAAAGTCAGACGGCATTGTGGCAGTATGGGTCACTAACAAACCTGCAGTCACTGATTTACTAACATCTCCACACGGGATCTTCTCTGAATGGGGCCTGGAACTCGTTGGGGAATGGACCTGGCTGAAGATCACTAGTTCCGGAGACCCAGTCATCGACTTAGAAGCCCAATGGAGAAAGCCGTGGGAGCGGTTGTTGCTGGGTAGGAAGAGAAGCAGCAGGGTGAAAACTCCAATCCCAAACAAGGTGACTCTGGGGGTTCCAGATATCCACTCAAGAAAGCCGAATCTAAGACGCTTATTTCAGGGCTTACTGCCAGAAAATTATATTGCACTAGAGGTGTTTGCGAGGAATCTCACCGCGGGCTGGTGGGGTTGGGGAAGCGAGGTCTTGTATTTTCAACAGGGCCATCACTGGGTAGATATACCAGATGACGTACCAACAAAGGTATAGCATCAAGCAAGCATTGTCTTCTGCTCGCTGTCCAATGTGTGTTGTACATGCAAATCTGGTCCGGGGTCTTCCCATAGTCGTACTCTCATCCTCTATCATGCCTACAGAATAAGAGTCTTTCGCCATTATCCTTTTCCCCCTCCCCTCCATACTTGAAAAACTCAAGTTTTTACTGTTTTGTTTTTTTCTTTCTTACATCACCATGATCCGCCCTTATTTCTTCTCCGTGAACTTCGGGTCTAAATTCCTGTGATTTTCCCAGTTTCCGTCCTTCAGTAACCTCTTCGCCTCCTCCCTGAGCGCAAGACTAGATTCCATCTTGGGTTGCTCGTCTCTCAGCGGGAATTTGCCGGTCTTCTGCGCCTCCTTCTGCCACTTCTCCTGCATTTCCTTATGCTGGTATCGCTTCTCCAGCATCGGCGGGTTCCACGGGCTCTTGTCCTCGGGGGGCTCGGGCCATACGAACGGCTGGTGCAGTTCCACCGTCATCGTCTTGACGGGCGGGGGGCGGTAGATGCGGTGGTGCATCTTGGATTGGCGCGGCCGGCGCTGCGTCAGCTGCGATCGCACGCCCAGCACCGGCACATTGTACGCGTGCAGTAGGTAGTCGCGGAAGTCCAGCTTGTTGAACGTCAGAGGCACCCTGAAGGTTGCGAAGTTAGGCGGTTGATTCTCCCGCGGTCGAATGAAGGCAATCGTTTGATCTGGTCTAAAGTTTGGGACCCAATGTCAGCTACAAAAAAATTCTTAAGAAATGGTTACCTTAGTTAGGTATGTCGGATGCGCATACAAGAAGACTTGTTTCTTCCCTATCCGGAAGTACTTTGTCGCCATTGTGCCTCGATAGCGACAGTGGAAGGAGGATATACTGAAGTATATTAAATATTAAACTGTCTACAATATCAACAACTTGAATTTACGGCGGGCTTCAATTGATTCGCCCTCTGAATCGGCAGGTGAAAATTCCGACTTCGCGGACCCACCTCTTCCATTCAGATGGGTACTGGGTACTTGGGTACCCAATTCGCTTAGTTCCAATCTGCTGTCCCTGCATGACTTATACAAGACGGGAATGCCCACTGTAAATTTCATAAGTGAGTTAACTAGGTACTTTACCTGTCTTCACATCTTTACTCACGAAAATGAGAATCTAATTGAATTGAACTTGGAACAACGCGAATATGAATTTCAGGTCCTCTTTTTTTTGGATTTTAAAAAAAGGAAAAAGTAAATAGTTTTACTCCTTTCGTCAAGTGTCCAGCAAGATTTTGACACGTCCGCATATGCATTAGCCCGCCCGTTCCCGTATTAAACTCTTCTCTCTTAAACGTCAATACCATCAACAACAACACCTTTAACCCACTCGTGCTGCATGAATCGTGCAACTTCATTCGCGGCATCGTCATCGACCAGAATGCTGACTAGATACAGAGCTGCATCTATGCCAGCAGATACTCCCCCCGTCGTGATGACCCGAAGCCCCCCAAGACGCATTGCGGCGCGGCGCGCAATGGACTCACGGCGTCCGTTCGATCCCTTGTATGACACACTTCCCTTTCTGCATAACTTATTAGCAAGTGTAAAAACTTCATACTTGAATGCAAAACGTACCGAGCTACAGAGGGGCGTCGGCCAGCGTCCGACTTGCGACGGATGTAGGGATTCTCATCCTCGTCTCCGAGCTCGAAGCGAAGGTTGTTGACGACGTATCGGGCGTCTTCTACGACATCGGTTCGCTCTTGCAGGTCGCGCTGAGCCGCATTGCTGCAGACGATTTCGAACTTGGTAATGTAGTCTGCGTGAGTAGTGGCAGACAAGCCTTCCAGGATACCTGCCTCGGCTAGGAATAGAGCGCCAGTGCAGACAGACATCAGTGTGCGCTCTCGAGTGTAGTCCTTCCTCTGAAGTTCTGCGAAAGCCTCGATAATGGGTATGGGTTCGGATTGCTCTTTTAGGATGGCGTCGCTATCGACGCTGCCCACCACAATGAGAACATCGAACTCATCAAGGCGCTCATGGGCTTCCTTGAAGGTGATCTGGGAGTTAACGATAACACCTTGTTGTGATAACACCGTCTTCTCCGAGGCAACAATTGTGCAATCGAAAGCTTTAGTACCTACAGACAAGGCCTCTCTTAGCATACAAGTAAAGTAGAGGCGGTTTGCAGACTGGGCAGAAATGCATGCATGGCTAGGTCTAGGTTAGGTAGCTAACATACTCTCATCGTTCTTATCGTGGCGAGCCCAGTCGAGAACCTCGAGGGTGCCTGCAAAGTCCATCAAGTCGAACTTGTGTTGAAGTGCGAATAGCACTTGAATAGGCTCGTCGGCCACCGCAGAGCTCTTGTGCGCCATGGTTGAAAAATAATTTGCAACGTGGTCTAAAGATATATGAGGGGAGAAAGGTAGAGTGTGTGTAGGTACGTATTGGAATTGGAATGCAGATTGCCTATGATGAAGAGAGAGAGGGAGAGGGAAGGACAAGATGTATTGGAGGTGCGCACAATTGATTAATATTGAATCACGATGTAAGGAAATGAGGTCAATTGCTTTGTTGCTTAAGTTGTTTAAATTGTTTTTACTATTTTCCTTTGAGGGAATTGAGAAGAAAGTTGAATGAGAATGGCCAGACGAATCGAGCGAGGAATTGAACGAGGAATTGAACCTATGGGCTGATGGATGGAGTGATTGAGGGGCTTGAGGGGCTTCAGCTTTTCAATACCTGCCCACGCCGGAGAGTTACGTAGGACCTAGGTATGGAGCTTGGGGAGGGGCTAGGCAGAGCTTGTAGGTATTGGAAGGTAACTACCCCACATTGTCAAAATTCAGAATGAGCAGTAGGTAGGTACTAGTATGTATATCGTTCCTTCTCCTGCCCCTCCCCCAGATTCGAAGCCGCTGTCTAGGGTGCGGAGACCCAAGGGATCGGCCTTTCCCTATGGATCTAAAGTGGTCACGCTCTCACTGTAGGAAATACAGTGCCGAAGTTAAAATTCAAAGAGGGGCCACATGATCAGGGCTTTTTGTTGCAGTTGCCAAAGCCTTCGAGGACCACCCAGGCTGAAGTGCATTAGATTAGGAGGTAGATGCATGTATTGTACCTAAGAATATCTATATAACTGAAACATGAGCAAATACGTATTATATTCGTCGAGAATTATTTTATTTTGTGCGTTCAATTCCCCATCTTAATCCCATCTTATTACCTACCTCTATCTAACCTTAGCTAGGTACTGGACGAATAATACTTTTTAATGTAGCGCCTTGGGCCGACATACATTACATTATGTACCTTAGATAATCCGTACATAAGGTAGAGTCATTATTTAGTATTATAGGTAGTATTTAGATGTGCGTTAATACGCCGAATCAATAAATAAAGATTCGTGGGCATTACCTACCTAGTGTATGCCCAGATAGTACCTAAGGTGGTACCTAGAGTACATGATTAGGTAGGTACCTTATGTAAGTTTAGATGGTTGCACTCATTGTACACTACGGCACCTGCAGGCTTAAAGCGGTCTCAAGCAATTCTAAACGGATCGGATGGACCCACCAACGGAGCTCGCCAAAAACTGATTTGCTACAAGATTTGAATGAAACCAAGGTTGACACAAGTCCCCACGGTCCTACGGTTCCAAGGTCCCAAGGTCCCAAGGAACCCTCCTCGGAACTCGATTGAAGCTTCTGCGGGACTTGCAGCTCTACTTATGCGCATTCTTGATCCGGAAGTCTACTTCGTCAACACTCATTGATCCCTACCTAACCTAACCGACAGATTGTTTCATTCGAACCGCTCCTCCATTCGGGGCTTCGGTCGTCCATGTCTTCAGCTCCGTACGTCAATGTCGTCCATTTCGTCACCCAAGAGTCTCGTCCAAAGTAACCAAGCCAGCTTTGTTACTCCAGACACCGAGTCACTATTGTCTAACCTTTACATCTAACCTATCAAATAGAATCTCCCACGCGCTAACATATTATCCACCCTCTTAGGTCGTTTAAGGAGCTCACGAAAGCCATACATAATTTCATACCCACCGCGAAATACCCGCTCCCCGACGACATCGTTGAGATTATCGAGGCTTACCTAAACAAGCATGAGAAGTTCGACGAAAGTATAGCCGACAAGGTCAACGATGAATTGCTTTCTTTATTCCATAAAGATGTCGCTCAGGTCCCGTCTCGATATACAGCATTCGTTGCCGTCCTTCGCCGTTTACGCCCCATAATCGGACAGCCGAGCAAGATCTTCCAATGGTTTGACTTACTACTTCTAGTACTGAACCATCTGGATCAAGAGAGAGGTCTTGCTTCTGAAGTAGAGGGTGTCCTTCTGGACGTCCTTACTGCCGATGATGGCGATGACCCTAGTTCACCCACTGGTGGTGGTGCTCCTCAACTTGCAGAACGTATCTTACTGCTGTGGCTTGATGAATATGAAGCTATCGGGAAAGGCCCTGATGTAATGACGGAGTTCAAAGAAAAGCAGTTGCGAAAGACTTTGCTGCATTACGGGAAAAGACGTCCAAAAGTAAGTACTCGTGTTTCTGTCCGGACCCCAAACATCTTGCTAAGTAAGGTTAGGATCTCTTGACTGTTCTTGACCTTTACGTGGTAAAGAAAACGTACCGTGCCCGTGCTCTGTCGTTTCTGGGTATTTTCGTACAGAGCCAACCGCCGCATCTACATCTTATCTTGCAAACCCCATTGTTTAATAGTTTAATCAACTGTCTTCAGCTAGATACGTCTACAACTATTGTATCCCTAGCTTTGACCGCGTTGACCATGATCCTACCTCATATGCCAAGTTCTCTCGTTCCTCACCTGCCCACGCTATTTAACATATATGCGAGGTTGCTCTTTTGGGAGCGAGAATTGTCCGCTCAAACGGTGGCGGATGTAGATCCAGATCGAAGGTTGTCCCCTGATACTCTCGCCTGGGAAAGGCTCTCATATTCGTCCGACTTCGACGACACAACCATTCCACAACTCCTTTATTATTTCACAGTGCTCTACGGCCTCTACCCTATCAACTTTATGGATTATATTCGGAAGCCACAGCGATACCTTCGACATGCGGATGTCCCCGATGCCGATGATATTGAGGTTCAACCTACCGAAATACGTCACGCGTCTGAAAGATTTCGGCAATGCCATCTGCTCCATGAGAACTTCTATACTCTCACTATTGATTCAGAGAAAACCGACTTTGGAAGATGGATCAAAAGTGAGCCAGCTGAAGTCGTAGCAGACTGCGTGGCGCTCTATCGCTCAAGTGAGGCATTCCCTACTCAAGACATCACGCAGGCGAATCATAGCGTACATGAAAGAGACGAGCCTGAAAAGGGCAGCCATGAATCTGCACTGCTGAGCGGCTCTTATCATTTCAGTAACCCGGCGTTCAGTCCTCTTGAAGGAGATAATCGGCGGAATACTGGGTCAACTTTGACGGAATCTATTACGAGTGGTAAAGTACAATCCGCCGTGCTACGCCAGTCATCTATAAGCAGCCACCACTCAAATCGAGACACTTCACCTAAACCACTCGGAATTGGTAATGACAGTCCGACCCTATCTCGTCAAATTGTCCCGTCTGCTTCACAAACTCATCTCCAAGACTTGCTAAATTCTAATAAAGCCATCAAATCCGGGCTACATCAATCCATGCCAAATGACAGCGTCCCATCTCTTTCGTTGAGCTACCATGAATCTATTTCTGACATTCCGGGATCACAACTCCAGCTAAATTCACAACAAGTTAACCCTTCTCAGTCTCCAACCGAAGGCAACAGTGCTCAGATAGCACATTTGCAGCGCCAATTACTAATGCTCTACAATGACCTAACGTTTGAGCGATTTATGAAGCAGCAGCACCTCACTCACATGGGCGTGTTGCGAAGGCGGCACGTTCGAGAAGCAGCAAGCGAGGCCGAAACCCAGAATTTAATCATACAGAATCGCCAGCTTAGACAGCAAGTAAAGAACGCTAAAGAATCAGAAATACAAGCGAAAAAGGAATCCGAGAAGAGCCGCATGCTCTCGAAGAAGTGGGAAGCTGATCTCACTGCCAAGCTGAGAGCGCTTCGTGAAGAACAGAAGAAGTGGAACGCGGAAGGGGATACTTTACGAACCGAGTTAGATGCGGCAAAACGCGAGGCAGAGAAATTGCGTCTATTAGTTTGCGAGGCTGAAGTTAGAGAACTAGGCCTCAAGCAAAACATGCAATCTGTTGAGATCAGCGTAAGCGAGCTGGAGAGGTTGAGGAAAGATGTAGAACGATTGACAGAATCCGAACGAAATTACCAAGCTAAGGAGACAGAACGACAACTTATGGTAACGCGCGCAGCACAAGCGGATAGCCGAGCTGAGGCGTTGGAGATAAAGCTTAGAGCCTGCGAATCTGATATCCAGAGAATACACGGCACATATCAGTCGCAAATTACCGCTCTCAATGCCAAGCTTCAGGATCTGCTCAAGAACAATACAGGACGCAATTCTGAAGACTTGAAGGTGCAGTTTGAGAATGCTCTAGGGACGAGCCGAGCGCAGCAGACAGAACTCAAGAGCCGCATTGCAGAGCTCACGAAGAAGAACACGGCTTTGCAAGCAAACATACTTGAATTGCAGTCTACAATATCCAACCTCTCGAAGCCCGATGCTCATCCGCTCACCGACCCGGAGGTTGACATGTCTTCCGATTCAGGTAGCCCATTGACACGTCGAAAACACCAACAGCGCGGGTTATCTGAGCAAGATGTGTTTGAACCGACATCATACAATGCCACCCCGCCACTCGAGCCGTACAATATTGGCCCAGAAAGCCAGGGACGGCGACCGTCTACGCCGCTGATTGATACACCTACAACAGGCAAAGGTAGCCCCAATACGGAGCGATATTTCGGACGAGGTGAGTATCGTTGTATAATCTAGCACTAAATGTAACGAGCATATATTAACTCTGCTAGGAGGTATGCAAAACCTTCGCAAAGACAAGAAGGAAAAGAAGGAGGAAAAGGAGAAAAAGAAGTCGGTTGGCCTACGCGGTATTAGGGGATTCGTCTAGGTTGGCTGACTGGAGTCGTGTTCGAGTTGGGTCTAGACCGTAGACTGTGGTCTCGGAAAGCTTGCGCTATCCAAATAAGGAAACAAGGGCAACAACTACGTATGTCCCTTGCTTCGTACCTATGTAATGAATGTGGCACGCTATGCATAACTTTGATACCCTCATACCATAGAGTTAGGTAGTTGGCAGAATATTGAACTTCTAAAGTCATGTCTAATTTGCTTCTGACGCCTCTTCGGATCATCCACACGCATACTTTAGAGGTAGGTACCTAGGAGGTAAGTTAGAGATCACTTATGGAGAGGATGTTTTTGTGACGTCAAAATGGTTTAATTTTTGTCTGAAATCAATTACCATTGAAGCCATGTTTCTACATAAGCCGACGCAACGCATGTTAGTTTTCCTTATGACAACCTACCTATCTGCCTATATACCTATAGTAGAAACTTATCCGATGATATCCGATTTTATTTTATAGTGGTAGAACCTAGTGTGTACCGTGAGTCCGGATAGCTCGGTCTGTTTTCCTGTCTTGTACTTACATGGTGCTATTGTAGTTTATACACGACGGTATTTACCGCAACCTTATGGATAACTCTGATTTATTTCTTGTTTTCTTTCTTCGCCACTTGTCGTCTCCTTCTCTACATATATAGATGGTATACATACATTAACCTAGGTACACTAGGGTATTTTATACAGTTTTTGTTACCGAGGAACTGCCTTGGTAAAGGGGGGATACATGTGAACTGCTAGCTTCTTAGTTGCTTGCGAACTGACGCCGCTGTGTCAGCCGACTCAGCCCATCTTTGGTCCAACCCAATGAGCTGGTTAATGCAGGAACAGAACGCAAGACCCAATGCAAGAGTAAGGGGCCCCCGCAAAATGCGGATTACCTACGCATCATGGCCACGCAAGTTCAAGTTTCAAATTGCTTAGTTGTGTACGTAGATTTTTGTTTATTTATTTCCTCCTTTTTCTCCTGAGCCCTAAACTGAATTTCGAAAGACTTATTATGGTAAAGGGCTTGGAATGCTTCATTGGACGCTAGCGAATAATATTATGTAAATTGCAACACGAACTTAGGCTTTACAGTATATGCTGTACTGTCTATACTGTAATCTCACGGAGATCGTGGTTGTTAGTGAGGTTAATGGGTCTAATACGAGCTTCCTGCACGTCATCATCTGACTACCTTCAATTTCCAACTTTTGCCAACTTGAGCAGTACTATATGTAAGGTATGTACATAAGATCTTATAAACGTTTGTAAATAACTACCCTAAGTACCTAGGTTTATATTTTCGAAAGTAAATCCTCCTTTGGTCGAAATGATTTACAAAATATTTGATAGGTATGTTGTACGCGCCGCAGTTTCCATCTACATCCACGTCCACGTCCACGTAGTGTGTACTACGTACCTATGTAAACAGTTTATTCTTAGAAGTTACAATAAAACAATCGGTCGAAAAAAGATTTTAGGTTAGCACGTAACGGGGATTGGATCCGCGTGGGAGATGGGGCGCAGCACAACCTCGGAGCTTGTTTCCATGCCTTTCAACAGGGGTAAGACGGGATAACCCTTCATGATTGGATCGATCGGCAGCCACTCAGAGGCTCCACCCTGTCGGGACCAAGATGGGAAAGCAAGGTACATTACACAAGGCCAGGTACGGAAGGACTTAAAGAAAGGGCTAGAATTTGTAGAACACCACTCAGAGTTGGAAAGTACCACTGGATAGAAATATTGATTTGGTTGTTTGGGCCCGTCTTTTTCAGGAACAAGCTTACGTACATTACCTCGTTCAATCAGGTACTTCAATATTATACATGACCTTAGGTATATACGAGGTAGCGTATAGGTATACTACACACGTATTACCTACTATATATGGGGATACATTATGGAGTACATTTAGTTACATTACCAATCACAAGATATCGCCTTTCATGCCAGGAATGGAACAGACAACAAAATACTTATCACAAGTCACGCACTATTTTTCTTACGTGTTGGAGGTACAAGTATCATACCATCTCATGTCACCACCTATCTTTCTAGTTTTTTCTTTCATCCATATTCCTACTTAGTATGCCCTATTCCACATAAGCTACTAGGGGATCGTCGACAAGTGAACTACTCTCATTCATCTTTCTTTAAGTACCTAGTCTTTTCTTGGTTTCCATTCATCCTTCTTTTTCTTGTCTGTAACCATCTTGGCTACACCTACACTCGCTTTGCTTCGCTGCGTCACTCTCTCTCTTCTCAGTCCGAATCACATTGCACTCACTCTCCTAATTCACCAGCTGTAAACTTAGGAGAGTATCCGTATTTAACTTGAGAAAACCTAGCATTCTCAGCTTTACCCGGGAACGCCTCAAGCAAAACAGTTATATCTCTTTTTAATAGAATTTACCAGATTCAATCGTTATGCACGCCATCGCTTCTATTCTTGCCTTAGCCTCCACGGCTTCGGCGATCCAGGGATTTAACTATGGCTCTACCTTTACTACAGGTGCTGCCAAGCAACAGTCCGACTTCGAAAACGAGTTCACCACCGCTCAAAACCTGAAGGGTACTTCTGGATGGACCAGCGCCCGTCTCTACACCATGGTGGTAAGTACCAAGAAAATAAAAAATAAAAATAAGAACAAGAGCAACAAAGCTTCGTGTTGAATTGTTCACCTAGGTACCTAGTTATCTAACTTTATCACGTAACTTTAGCAAGGAGGAACCGCGAGTGATCCTATCTCTGCCATTCCCGCAGCCATCAAGACTAAGACTTCCCTTCTGCTTGGTCTTTGGGCTTCTGGAGGTGACACTTCGTTCGCCAACGAAATCCTCGCCTTGAAGGCCGCTATCAAGCAGTATGGAGAAGATTTCGCCAAGATTGTGGATGGTATTTCCGTCGGCAGCGAAGATCTATACCGAAACTCGCCCGCAGGAATCGCAGCTGGTTCCAACGTTGGTACCGGTCCCGATACTATCGTTCGCTACATCAAGGAGACGAAGGAAGCCATTTCCGGCACGGGCTTAGAGGGTATTCCCATTGGTCACGTCGATACCTGGACTGCTTGGTACAACGGTTCCAATCAGGCCGTTATCGACGCTTGTGACTGGGTTGGCATGGATGCGTATCCTTACTTCCAGGATACTATGGCCAATGACATCTCCAAGTCAAAGTCTCTGTTCCAAGACGCTCTTGACAAGACTCAGAAAGCCGCTGGTGGAAAGAAGGTCTGGATTACCGAGACGGGCCACCCGGTCAGCGGCAAGACTGTTGGACAATCTATTGCTTCTACCGACAATGCTGAGACTTTCTGGAAGGATGTTGTTTGCCCTCTGCTGTCTAGCAACACGAACCTCTGGTACTACACCCTCCAGGATGCTGCGCCCGATACTCCCAGCCCCAGCTTTGGTATCGTTGGCAACAAGCTCACCACCACACCCCTCTTCGACCTGAGCTGTGACAAAGCCAACACTGGTTCTTCCTCTTCCTCTTCCGCTAAGCCCTCATCTACCGGCAAGGGTGGTTCGTCCTCGACTGCTTCTGGATCCGATGCTTCAACTACTAGCGCTATTGGAAACTCCGGTGGCAGCCCCGGCGGTGTGCCTAGTGGCCAGATCTCCAGCGAGCAGTCTGCTACCGTGACGCCTACGGCTATTGGCCCTATCTCGACTGGTACAGGATCCAGAGGTTCTGGTTCGGGTACTAATGGTACCTTCACCGTGCCTCCGGCTTCCACCTCTACCGTTCCCGCTAGTGGCGCCCGAGGTCTGCAGTCAGGCGCTTTCGCCGCTGCCTTTGGAGCCATCATGGCCGCTATCTACGCGCTATGAATGGTGACATCGACGACAGACCACCACTATTTCATTTAAGGGCTATTATGGTGATCGGCGTTATGAGGCGGCCACGCTGGTTTTCAAGGATGGGGTCGCCTGCATGTACTCTTGGAGGCATAGGAAAAGCCATACTTGAGCAAGGGATATTCGGACATAAAGGTTTTCATGAACAAATTAAATCCCTTGGGAGGGAAGAACAAACCGGTACTGGATTCAGACACCACCTTAGACTTTTGTAATATTCTCTCGATAAAAGCAGAGAAGGCTAGTCGCCATTGACTTCATGACATATAATTGATCTTTGTTCTTGATGTCTGTGCCTTCACCATGACTACTTGCGGGTTAGTTTCGTAATCATAATTTTATAGATGTGTTATGTTTCCAAGGAAACCCCCTTCCATATGTCTTAAGGCAGAGCATACCATAATTGTATACCATGTTGCTTCAAGAGTGTATCTCTAATCCATTATTTCCTAACCAACTCTTTTCATAAAGTAAAAGCATATAAGTAAATTAGCCTAAGTACCAGGTAGGTACCTAAGTTACAGTAAAATCATGTCGCACGACAATTTAGCACCTCTATAAGCATTATCCTAACCTCGACATTCCTCCTATCCGAACTTCACCAAACAACCTACAACACCAACTGTCCCCCTCATCCTAAGCCAATCTAGGACTTGATCGAGGCTCACTTGCAATCAATCAAGCAATCAAGCAATCAACGCAAATCAGCGCTAGTCGTCCCAAAACGGCAGTTGACGACACGCAGAGTGGAGACCGAAAAAGTACCTAAGTCTTAAGTTAGGGTTCCGCGAAGCACGTCAACCGCCGCCCATCTCACGACATCGTCCTAACAGCCCCGTAGGGCTACGCTTTCCCATTCCCAAGCCCCAAAGCATCCAATCGGCCATTTTTATCGGGTACCTGCGTGCGGCCCGGCTGGATCTGCAAGCTTCGGGAGGACGACGTTTGGGACGGGATTGCGGGTCTCCTCCACACTTTGAGGCTCAACTGATCCTTACATACCTACATAGGTGAAACCTACATGGTAAGTATAGGTTGTACTTGAGATAGATATTTTACCTACCTAGGTAGATATCAGGATTCCTCTAAATATAAAAAACGTATGCAACTGACGTAGTTCATACGGCAAATGAGAGAAAGAGCGTCTAGACTATATTGCACAGAAGCCTGTTAGATCTGATAAGCCTACCTCTTTCTGGTTAACTCCTTTAACACCAACAATTCAAACAAGCAAAATATACAAATCCAAATAAGTATATTACTATTTTAGAGATTACTCAAGATATAAAGACTAAATAAACCCCAAGACAAATCACGCGGAATAAGGTGAAAGTGAACCGGTAGTACAAGCCATCTCTATCCAAACGCGCGTCAGAGGATATCGTCACATACCTAAGCTAACCCCTTTATTTTTTTTCATGCCTTTTTTCGAACCTCACTCCAAAACGCCGAGTTAATCCCCCCAAATGATGCCTTTCCTCGTTAACCCACCCCGTGGTCATGTACATCCACATCCCGAAACGTATCATAAATCATCAAAAGCCGTCTTTTAGAGATAGCCAATATTTCATGGCTTGTAGCTGCGTATATAACGATACGCTTGCTAGAGGATTCATAGCTCGTCCTCATTCATCTCAGTGGTCGTAACGGTAACATGATTGTCCTTAATCATTGGTCCCGTCTCCTCCGAGACAATTTCATTCCGTTCTCGCTTAACTGAAAAACACTGAAAAGCGCCAATTACGGCAACAAGAGCACTTCCGTACCATGCGAGACCGGTGCAGTCAATCTGCGACCCAATTGAGTAGAGATAGCCTGCCACAGGCGGGGCTATCATACGGCAAGCTGCTCCAGCACTAGCTGCTAGACCATTTACTTTGCCAAGTACAGACGAGCTGGGGGTCGCATCCTTGATAAGGATGAGCAGTAGAGGATACAAGATAATAGAGAAAAGATTTCTGACGCTTAAGCAAAAATAAATCGCGGCGTATAGGATCGAGTCTGGCACATGGACCAGTGCAGGGACAATAACGTAGGCAATCGGATGGAGGACGTTGACAATAATGAAGAGCCTAAAGACGCCGATCTTCTCGGCGGCTAAGGGGAAGACGAAAACTTGAACGAAGAGTGCAATGGCTCCATTTACAGCCATTATAAACCCTACGGACTGCATGGAAAGACCTAAGCCACCAGGCGAGTAAAGGGGATTGAATTTAGAGAGAAAACCCTCATCTGGGGCGTGGTTGATAGGGACTTTGTCATCCTCGAAGAAAATGGGGAGGAGATGGTCATAAGTCATCGAGTGATAAGTAAAGATAGAAAGCGAAATGACCAGAGCCACGATGCGCTTGGTGAAAATGGTGAATTCGCCCTTCTTTACTGGTGCTTTCGCGGAAATCACATCACGGTTAAATTCACCGCTTTCCCTACCCCGGAAAGTTCCGTACGTCTCCGAACGTAGATCGACTGCTGGTTGCTTGATAGCATCTGAAGTCTCTATAAGGGGAGTCTCGTCGGAAACATAGGTGTCATCGGGTAGCATTACCCGCGGAACCATATCAGGGTGCGTTTCCTCAAGTAAGAAATACCCCAAACAAATGCTAATCATTAGAAGAGCAGCACAACAGAGGTTAGGGAGGAGATAGGGGAAGTTTGCGAATAGGGTGCCCTGAGGGAACGTTTCAGGCCAAGACTCATGGGGGTCTGCTAGCATTCCTCCAATTGCTGGCCCGATAATTGTTCCAATGGACCAGACGAACGGCATGACCGAATAAGCGCGAGCTACGACATTAGCATTTTGTTTTTTTAGCCATTTGTATTGAAAACGATAGCTTAACTTACGCTCGTGTTCAGGTTTGGTGACTAGCTCGCCAACCATGGTCTGAATAACTGCAATGTTTCCATTCAGAAGTCCGCCGAGTGCTCGACCGATCAAAGCAATCCAGAGGTTGGTAGCAAACCCTACCATAACCATACTGAACATAGTGCCAACACATCCTACGAGAAGGACGGGCTTTCGACCGATTCTATCCGAAAGTCCTCCCCAATACATCCCCATTAGCGCCTCAGCGAGGGCGAATGAGGAGATCTAAAAGAGTTAGTAATGGCCATCTACGTGTTCTACGAATATGAGATTTACATACAAGGAGGCCAGCGTAAAACGAGGCATCTTGCTCGTTGCCGATTTTAAATCGCTTGACTAAAGCCCAGGCATACGGAAAGATGGAGGTGAGGGCGATGGGCTCGGCTAGACGAACGATAGCTAACAAAAATAGCTGAACAGTCGGGAAGTCATCGGGGTTTCGAGGTGATCTCTGCTTTGTTAGGACCATTGCTTCGTGGCTTGGTATCAATCTTACGGCTAGCGGACACAACACTTGGCACTTTGATCTTGAGCTGGCAGATGCTAGAACAGGAAGAGAAGCGTCAAGTGATGTGGCGGCAGGCAATTCCTTCTATTTCCACCAGCGAGGCTACTTTCGCGAGAAGACTTTTTTTTTCTCGGATGACTCTTTTCTTTTTATCTACGCCACTAGACGCTTGTGAGACCGATAGAGGAGGGTAGTAGTAACGGCGTATAAACGAATATGAGGTAGATAGGTGTGAAGTCTCCGAATTTTCGTCGACACGTATGTTTAGAAACAATATTTTAATGCGAGGGAAATATGATAAATGAAATGAACTTTCATGTGCAGCTACTGCATGAGGAGGAAGGAAGTGGTACCTAGGGTAAGGTAGGGTGGGCAGAGAAGAAGATTAAACAAGGAGGACGGCATCAGAGAATTATACTATGAATCGGAGGTTGTTGGAAAAATAATTGTGGAGATGCGCTAAACAATGGTTTTTTAACGTTCCTCAACTGTGGACCTGCTGGAGCAGTCTATAAGAGGTAACCTTATTAGTGAGAGGTTGAGGAAACTCCGTCCGCCAAGCGTTGTCTACCAAGATATTATCATTCTGTTATTCATTTATTCTAGTATTTTAGTATTACCATACCTATCTTGATTACCTGTCTTGATAACATATCTCCATCGTCAGTTCCACCCGCTTCATCCACAACTTACGATTAACTGGTTCAACCAAATCCAACTCACTAACCTACTGTAATAAACTCCGATCTTTTTTCTACTCTTACACTTTGCACACAGACCTTTTCCAACTATTAAATAAAAGGAAAATGGACACCTTTACTCGCGTCGATGGGATGTCGATCTTACAGTATATACTACATAAGGTAGGTAGTATGTGGTAGAAACCAGATGGGTTATCCGAGCAATGGCCGAGATGATCAGCAAGGCAAAGATCGGGTACATAATAAATAACAAAATCGGCTTCGGCGGTCTAAAATGTGATAAACTGTGGATAGCTTACCTACATCCATACCTCCGTATCTCCACGCCATACCATCACATTTTTCGAGGTCTTAAGTTATCTTCTCGAAAGTTGCAGACGCACGCCTGTCATCCCTCGTTGGTCCCCGCTGCACAATGCAAAACGCAAAATGCGAAAGCGTTGCACTGAAGATGGAATAACATCTCGATGCTAGGGCCAGGGTTCTGTAGATGATGGAACCCATGGAATCCAGGACCTTGAGATCTGCGGTCAACAAAACTGGCCAATCATTTAATACAGATTGTGAGCGGTATGTGGGGTTGGCGAACCTTTTGAAGCTTGCTCCCTGTCGTACTTGCGGCATCGCTTCGACTCTAGTTACGCATAGACGTATCAATCCGCCCAAATTTTTCAGCCACTCCCTAATTGAGTTATCTCTTTTACGCTAATGGCGGGGCAAAAAGCGCTAGCAACTTTGCAGGGTTAGTCCCCTCCTTGTGCCTCTCGGATCCACTCCGTTTCTTCCTACATCATGTATACTGTTATTTTTCTAGATTCCTCTCGAAATGGTCAACCTCACAACTCTCATCCGACGATTTAATTATTTACCGCGTGGTTTTACACTGCGTCACACCTGATTCTCAAGCGATCTCAGACACTCGGAGATCTCTATTATGTGAAACCCGAGTTCTTCATCTCACTACGTACTAACACATAAACCATATATCATGTCGAAATGTTGATCGAGACATTCATGGTCGTCCTGCGGCTTGCGAATGCATGACACATATAATCCATCGCTACGGTTCACATGCTGATATTTTTTACTAGCGCGAGCTGTAATCTACGCTATGCCCGACACCGGAAATTTCCTGGCGGCTAACTTTTGGAGCTAAGCCAACTGCTGCTCACTTGATCAACCAAAAATCGAACTCTTCTAACCCAAACTTCACGAACAGCGCCTAGATATTTGATCTAGAACAGCCTTTATATTCGATATCCTACAATTAGATCTATATGAACCCGTACGGACATCGTCTTCTGTTTCAAGGACCTGTAGGAACCATTGGGTAATTAATTCAACACATAAGTTTCGAGTCATATCTCAACCTACGTATAAGACGTACGGCACCAGCATATGCAAGGCCGCTCACAAAAGGTGCATGCTTGTTACCTAGGTGGTACGCTGCAGTGCGATACAGTAACTCCAAGTCATCGCATGGGTTTCTTGCATACGGCTAGCCTTCCTGCGAACGCCAATGGCCGTCGCGGGCCGGTACTCCCAGCCTATTCCTTTGCGTTGGTGCAACTTCCTACTTTCTGTGACTCGTCGGATGTAAAAAGAGGTCAGAGCCACGAAAATTATGAGGACCCTTATTGACCCTTATTGTACCACCATCATCATTCAGCCCTGTCGTGCGTCCCAAGTCTCCTTGAGGTAGATGTTACGGCAGCAGGATGCTATCATTCGAGGGTTGCATCGAGGTGTCAAGGGTCTTACAAAGTTTCCTCTCAAGCCTTCCCTTTTCTTTTCCGAGATTGGTGCGATGCGATATTATACACGATAAGGTCAATGCTGTTTCTGTCGTCAAGCAAGGAGACGTGAGCCATTACCGCAGTAAGCAATCTATATACTCATCCCTTATTGATAATATGCTTGCGTACAGTTAACGAAGACATGCAAATCAGTCTGGAATTCTCTCATGAGGGGCACTCGACACGCCCTTACATCCGCTATAGCTAGGTAACCACATATAACTTGACAGTCATGCCATGTCTTGATAGCCTTTCTCGGCGTTAAATTGAGGTATTATTCCTCCGTCTGAAGTAAGTAATCGCGGGACTTATCCGCGGACAGATTGCAATTCGCACAATTTTACGCATCCAATAGGAGTGATAGTTGGAAGATCGATATATTCTCACCTCTCGGAACTCGTCCTTTGCGCGATAATACCTAAGCACATCTCGATGGCATTACACAGGGCTGGTAGTATTTAAGTCTATAACGTCATTGTCTTAGGTGGATAGGTAGGTAATTCTGTGAAAGCTACCTAGATTCTCTGTCATGAAATCATGAACCTAAGTGATTATTCTTCATGCCTTAGGCAGCTAGGTTTCTCGTGGTTTCATTAAAAAAAAAAAAAAAAACCTTTATTGACAGTGGTAGCTGGTCAGCCGCATGCACGCACCCCATGCATAAGCGAGCAAGTGAGAATCCTACTATACGACGATGCTGGGTCTATGTATGATGCTATATCGAGACGCTTGCCAAGCGCTAGCATCCGACGAGATATTACTTACATTAGGTACACTTACATATGCTGGAGACTTAAAAACGGCCCCACGTAATTATAGTATATACATATTCTGTCTCCATACTTGAAGTAGTGTTTACACGATGCTCATGTCTTATATATGGAACGTAGGGCAAGGAAAGGCTAGTAGCTGCGATAGAGTATTCTTACGTGTCTTAGTACTATACATACTATTTTAGAGGCCTACGATATATTCTGTTATGGGTATAGATTACCTAGGATAGGGCCGGTATGCTTGGGCAACTAATTTACAACATGGCACAATCTCAAGTAATATCGCCCTTTTTACCTTGCGAGCATGAATACGCTTCTACATATTTACGTCTCTAAGGACGTTCTGCTATCTCTAGATTATAATACTAGGCACTTTTAATTATATAAATAAATATCACCCGTATCTAAAAACGGCCGTCTCTACGTATCCCTTACTCCCATAATATGCAAACCGCAGAAGGTGTTCCGTTCCCCTCTATAGCACTTATCACAAGCGCCAAATAGAAGCATCACCTTAGGTAGTATAATTAATTCTCAGCCCCAGCACAATCCTGTTTTTTTTTCTCCAGTCCATGCCAGGTACATATATAGGTAGTAACCATTTATACCACTTACTACCCCCTCCATTACACACACCGGGGAGCTTCCAAGAACCTCTCAAGCTCGTCGAACGAAACCCCCAGCAGCTGCGACAACCGACTCCGCAGCTCGTCCAGCGAGATCTCCGACGACTTATCCGGGCTCAGCGGATTCTGCTGCTGCTGCTGCTGCTGCTCTTCTTTAACTAGCCTTACGAATCCCGGGGTCTGCTTCTTCATCTGTATTATATCTATGTGGTCGTGCACCAGACCCGGTTTCTTCTTCTTGCTGTTGTTATTGTTCTTGGGAAAAGGCTTCCGCGGGGGCTGGGGGAACATGTCTAGCTTAACCTGGATGCTAAGGGAGCTAGACGGGATGCTCTCGCCGGACGTTATCGCCGTCGGAGGCGGCAGGGGCGGGGGCATGGGCGGCATGGGGGACGGCTTGAGCTGGGGCCGCGGTTTGGGCTCTTCGATCACGTCGTCCGTGGCGATGGGGAGGTCGAGATCGGGGCACAGGTAGCCGTCGTACTGCGGGATGCGGAACCGCGCCCCCGCGAGCCGGTTCCACACCCAGCCCTGCCCCGTGTAGTGGAAGTCTGCCACGGCGGCCGTCGCGTGCTTGTCCCCCGCCGCGGCTTCGGCGCATATGCCGACGTCCTTGAGAGCCGGCTCGAGCGTCTGAGGCCGGATCAAGGTGCTTCGGAGATCCTTGCGCGACGCTAGCCAGTCTTCCTCGGAGAATAAGCGGGATACGCTGTAAAGCAGGTGTTATTAGTCGCAACTCGGAAAAATAGAAGGGAAGAGGGGGGGCTTTGATGATGATGGGGGCTTACTAGTCAACGGGTATCGAGTAGTGAGCGCGATGCTTGGGCCGTAGACGGTGGAAATCCCAACTTAGCACCTGCTTCCACGCGATGCCGGCTGAGAAACCCAATGTCTCCTTGGTGTGGATGATATTTTTAATCTGTACCGGTATCCAGCCGCCAAAGATAGATGCGACGAAGCTATCTCCTAATTCCATCTCGAGGTCGGCGCCATAAAAAGGCTCCCGTAGGTCTCGCGTGAGAGCTCGACAGTCCTTCCAGTAAATAGCATGACCGAGCCTGGAAAATAATTCATCAATACTAGACTTTACTTCAAACACAAGAGGAATAAAAGGGAGGGATTTACTCATGCAAGAGCGTGATGGCCGTCATGAACGCCGTCAAAAGATACTCCTCGCCCTGTCCCTTTCCCTCGCACCTCAACTGGGCCAGACGCTTCGGGAACTCAGCCGTGACCAGAATCGACATGTTCCTGCGGCCGCGGGCCTCGCATTTCTTATCCCACCGCCGGATCGTCTCGTACCTATCAAGCTCGTCTAGCGTCTGCCCGTTGCGCGGATGCCGGCACGTGTACCCGGCCCACCCTCGCTCGCGGAACATGTCCTCGTCCAGCTCCCACCTCACAGAACTCGACACCTCGCCCCTAAGCTTGCTTTCTGCAGCACGCGTCCACCGGCCCTTGAGGTGCGACGATGCCCACACGGCGCGGTGGTGCCTCACGACGGTCCGCGGCGCCATTTCATTGTCGTCTGCGCGCGCCGCGGCGGAATGCGTAAAGCTGCAGCGGCAGCTCGGTTTCCGGCCGGGGTAGCCTCTCACAAAGACGTCGTGGGCGAGGAAGTCGGAGGCCCAGGGAAGTCCCGCGGCCTCCAAAAGCCTGCTCGCGAGGAGAAGCGGCTGCTTCAATTCCCTGCGCAGTTCTCGGTTTAGATCTTTCCAGTTGGAGAAGACCGGATGGATTTTGCCGCGCAAATTAAGACGTCGTGGCTCCGTGGTTCCTAACTCAGGTTGTCGTTAACTTCACGACTCTCTCGAACACAGCAGGATGATAACGAGAGAGTGGATTCTGGATACCTATAGCACCGCATTTACGAAGCTCTTCTCTATTCCATCTCTTCGAGTTTGAGCCGGGCTGCGTTGAAATGCGGCCGTGTCGAACTCCAGTGCTCTGCGGTGTCATTATCGTCTTCCCAATTACTCAACACTCAACCGCACCAAATCACCCAACGAGAAGAAAGAAGAAAAAAAAGGCTAAGTATTTCGAGGCATATTAAGTAAATTACCCCTTTCAAAAACATCTTTCAAAGAGAAGGACGCTATTAGTAAGAAAAACTCAAAGAGCTCAGCATTCCAACCGCCTTTCCAGGGAGGAGGGACCTGGAATGGGTAACCGTAAGTGTGGTGTATTAGTGGAATATCTCTATCCCTCCCATCTTCTCCTTTGTCTAATCCGGTCGAACCACGTTCTTTGGATAATATGTCGTTCCAATAAGATTTTCGTTTTCCATCATCGTCAATTCGTAGCCCTTCGATAAAACCGCCTTAAATCTCGCATACCAGATGCCTTACCTGACCTAACCCTTCTTAACTCTCGTACTCCATCTTCCTGTCCCCGATCACGTTCCAGAACTCCTCCACGAGCTCCTTCTGACCGCTGGGCGCGCCGCGCACCGCGAAGTACTTGCGCTCGTCGATCTTGGGCTCCCACACCCCCGGGTTGCCGCCGACCATGATCCCCCCGGCCTCGGCGAGTATCGCCCATCCCGCGCACACGTCCCACGCCCAGCAGCCTCCCTCCCAGTACCCGTCAAGCTGGCCCGCAGCTACGGCGCACAGGTTCAGCGCCGCGCTGCCCATGCTCCTTATAGATTGCACCATGGCGCCGCCGGCTTCTTTGCTCGCGCACAGCTTCTTGAACACTTCGGTCTTGACCTCGAAATTGACGCCGTCGCGGCTGTTGCCCCATTCGGTTGCCAGCATGCACGTGTATAGCTCCTTTAAGGGCGGCGGGTTCTTGGCTAGCGGCAGTTTGTATTTGCGTCCCTTGCCGCCCTCGAGCCCCCAGACGGCGCCTTGCGTTAAGTACGCGCCCTGCCCGCGGATGGCGGAATATAGCTTGTCTTGGTAGGGGTTATATACGACGCCGACGGTGGGGATCTTGTCGACTGCGAAGCCCAACGAGATGCAGGCCTCGGGGAAGTTGTGCACGAAGTTGAGGGTGCCGTCGATCGGGTCCACGATGAAGGTCGGGGCGGCCGTAACTTGCATTCCCGGCTTATACGTCTCTTCGCCGATGAAGGCGAATGAAGGATAAGCTTTGGAAAGTCGGGAAGAGACGAGGGCTTCGACTGCTTTGTCGGTCTCGGTAACTATATCGGCAGCTGAATTCCGTTATTAGTTAGTTACTCGTTTCAAGTAAAGCTTTGTCTATCTACAGGTAAGGTACCTATCTATGAAGAATAGGCACCTCAGGTAGTTGTGTCGGGTTCGTTTTTGAAGCTTAAGACTCTTAAGGCACCGTCTGAAGTTTATCGTGAACGACTTATGGAGGGGCAATTATGAGAATAGTAAATAATAAACCGTACAATTTAACTTGGTTCCCGTATCTATATCTTGAGGGTTCGCAGACAATATCATCCGGCCGGCCTCGTGGGCCACCGATATCAGCGTGTCGCGGATCTCTTGGAGGTTGAGGTCCGCCATAATGTTAGACTTAGACGACTTGGAGTTTTTATAATATTAATTAATTAAGCCTTAGTTGAACGAAGGAGAGGTTGTCATGAAGCTCTACCTAAGCTAGTAACAGCAGCTGGTGATGAACTGGTGAGAGATCTAAAATATTTAGGTATTTACCTACCTAAGGTGGGGTAGTTGATGGTGCTGCTAGGTAATGGTGCTAATGGTGGGGTTAATAGCATCTGACTTTGACCGCATGTGGGAGAGCAAGGGTATATGATTGGCTGCCTGTGTTAGGTACAGGACACAAGAAGTATATAAGTACAATACCAACGTATCACACATTACCTATAAACTTACTATTTACTCTAACTTATAAGTTAGCGTCTTATTCCTATTACGTCTCAATATTTTGTGAGTGGCATTAATATTTTTACTTATTTGCTCTAGTATTTTAATTCAGAGTAATGGTTTTTCCTTTCTTTTTTTAAAGTTCAAGTATGAGGTATGAATGCACTTTATAGTACGCCGCTAATTTTTCGAATTAGTTGCTGCGGGGCTCCAAGTTGGCTCCGCTATTTCGACGTTGGGTTGCCGAGCTGCGGCGCTGGTACGACATACCTATTAAATTGAATGTACATAATTTCAAAGAGAAAGACTTTCGAACCTTTTACAAGAGAGATACCACCCTGGTTCTATTTATTTATATCTCAGACCTAAATAACTTTTTTTAAAAAAAGAAAAAGATCTAGATAAAAAAAATGGCGACTCCTAGTACAAACAATAAGGGCAACAAGGGCCAACAACTCCCCCTCATCACCGTCCTCGGTTCTCTCAACATGGACCTGGTCTCCTACGTCCCGCACCACCCCTTTCCCGGCGAGACCCTAACGTCAGACCGCTTCGCCATATCTCCGGGCGGCAAGGGCGCCAACCAAGCCATCGCCTGCGCCAAGCTATCCCGGTCCCGGTCCTCGAACCACTCCAGCACCGACGACCCGACAGCCACCGCCCGCGTCCGCATCCTCGGCGCCGTGGGCGGCGACAGCTACGGCGCACAGCTCAAGTCGAACCTATCGCGGCACGGCGTCGACGTCTCCGGCGTCAGCGCCTCCCCCTCCCTCAAGACCGGCATAGCCATCATCATCGTCGACGAGCCCTCGGGCCAGAACCGCATCGTGCTCAGCCCCGAGGCCAACCACAGCCTGCTGGCCTCCCAGTTCGCGCGCCCGAGCGCCCTCGGCGACCCCCTCCCCGACCTGCTCGTCATGCAGCTCGAGATACCCATGGCCACCGTCACCGCCGCGCTGCACGCCGCGCGGGAAGCCCAGGTCCCCGTCCTGCTGAACCCGGCCCCCGCCCAGGAGCTGCCGCCGGAGGCCTACGGCGGGCTCGCGCACCTGGTCGTCAACGAGACGGAGGCCTCGATCCTGGGCGGCGTGGCCGAGTACGAGCTGAACGCCGAGTCCGGGCTCGAGGGCGTGGGGAGGACCTTCCTGTCGCGCGGCGTGCAGAACGTCGTCGTGACGCTCGGCGGCCGGGGAGTGTATTACATGAGCGCCGACGGGCGGAAAGGCCTCATCCCAGCCGAGAAGGCCAAGGTCGTGGACACCACCGCGGCCGGGGATACGTTTGTGGGCAGGTACGCGCTTGAGGTAGTGTCGGGCAGATTTGACATAGTCGACGCGGTGAAGAAGTCGAATCGGGCGGCGGCGAAGACGGTGGAGAGGTTAGGGGCGCAGGACTCGATACCCTGGCGCGACGAGTTATGATAGGGTGGTATGGTTACGTTAGGATAGGTGGAAAGGGAGAAACAAGTCACATAGAATCCTGTATAGAGCAAGTCCCATCAAATTAGACCACCCAAAATGATTTCTTCAACCGGTACTCCTATTAACTTAAATTCTATACGTCTAATACCATGGACCTTCTAGAATAATCACCACCAACCCCCTAAACTCCAACGCCCATCTCGTTTACGTTTATCAGTCTGTACCTCCTGCTTACCAGTCGTGCTTGGAGAACCAGTAGCACCATCATCTCTACTTCCTGGGTCTGTATCGACCACCGACGGCACTAAGCTCTTTAGGCTATCAGCACCTATAGACCTCCTATTGCGCACTGCAGTCTCCCGTATCATCTCGCGTTGCCGCTGAACGTCCGACCTAGACTCGGGCCGCGTTGATCCGGGACGGATGATAGCCTCGGAGTTAGGCGCCTCCACAAAAGTCGTAGCGGCGGGGAGCCGATTAGCTTTACTTACGTGGAAAGCTGGGCGGTTACCGGAGGACGTCCGGCGCAGTTCTGTCCAGATTTTCCTGGCCGGGTCGGAGATTCTTTCCGGGGACAACCGCTTGAGACTAGCCTGCCGTTGGGGGATGGGAGGAGCTGTTCCTGCCCGGTTTGGTACCTGGAGGACATCTCCAGTTCTGTCGCGCTGTCCAATTCTCATCCATTTGGCTGTTCTGCGAGAAGTTGGTCGATTTGACATTATTCTTTGCATGATTTCGTTGGCCCGAATTGGGCCCCAGTGAGAAGCAATAATAGGAAATAAAGGATTAGTTGGCGGGGTTGGCCGAGGAGACCATGCAGATGTCGAAGCATGTTGTTGAATAGTTCCAGTCACTGCTGTTTCTAATCGGGTCTGACAAGTCGACACACTGCCACCAGTATCGTTATCAATGGAAGCCTTCCCAAATTTAGGGAATCCTGAATGACAATAGTGAACCCTAACTTGCAGATATTCAGTCCGGGCACTCCCCAGCTGGTTTTCAAGGTCGGCAATGAGACTGTCAGGGTCATGCCTATCTGCCCTTGGTTTTATCAAATTCGAAGTCCCCAGCCGGATACAAGCTAAAAGGAGAATGCTAGTGCCAGGACTTATTGTCCTGTCGGCTCGAATAAGCGCGGGCATCTAAGGGCATCTCATATGAACATACCTTATCATAGTATCCCCTATAAGATCGATAACACTACCCTCCGCGACCGGCAAAACATCTACCCTTATGTTATATAGATAGCCATATCTTGATAAACCAATATCGCAATGGTGAACGGGGATGAAAGGAGCCTGGTCGGTGTCATAAGCTGAGTTGTCGCCTCGAGGATGAAATAGTCGGCCTGATATCTCAATAGCTGTCCAAACGTCCGATTGTCCGTCTTCTAAGGATTTGGATTCTGGTATAATTGAGATATGCGGGACGAGGATGTAAGGATCAGGGCTAATATTATCTGGTCCTTGGGTACTCTCGAAGGTTTGACCATCGAATCTATTCACTACGAATTCATTGGGATATATCGAAGGAACCGAATAATCGGAATCCGATGATCGATCCCATGATCTAGCCCTTGGGTATTCATTAGAAGACTTGAGTATTGATTCATCTGAAGAGCTGCTAAGAGTATGCGAACTATGCTGATAGTAGTCGGGTTTTGAAGATAGGGTCTTCCGGTTAGACAAAGAACGTAACCGAGAGAAGAATGTAGGAGATGTCGGTCGTCCGACTTTTAAGCTTGATGACCGGCGAGATACTGGAGCATTTATAAGTCTCGGTGTGACAGGATCCCAAGCCTTGTTAGAAGCTATGATCTACTCGTTAACGAATAGCCAACTTCAAACAAGATCGAAATGCATTACCGATGTTGGCGGTAACACCTCCTGATTGGTTCCGAAAGCTTCGGCTGAGTACCACTTCATCAACGCGGGTTAAATTCTTCTTTATAATAGATCTGTCCTGATATTTTCGATTCTTTGTAATGGTTAGTGGTTGGTTAGGATCGTCATCAACACTTTCGTTGCTGATCTTCCTGGGGGTACAGCGGAGGACCTGCATAGACCTCCCCCTCTTTATTATATGTAATGGCGATGGTATATCCATGCCTAGCGGCGAGCTATCTTGCATAGTGAACTGGCAACGGCCGAGTAACAGACCCAAGTGACTCGTTCCCAGTTTGGCCAATAAAACTACTCTTAATAGTCGTACGACTTCCTCCCGTGGGATCTAAAAAGCTGGTAGGATGCGTTGGGACCAGCGGTTCGCGTCGTGACTTCGGTCGACAGCTGCAGAGTGGTGATAGAAGGTTAAACCCTTTCAGAATCGTGAAAGTGATAATCGCAATTAAAAGGGCCGGGATTAGAGCAATAGCGCAAATTATACCCGGATGTAGTTGTTCGGACATAGCCAATGTTTTTTTTTAGTTGCTCTTAGTTGTGAAATGAATATCAAATTCGAAATTAGGTCGTAAAAGCAACTGAATAGTAGAATTACGAAAACGATACCAGACGTCTCATATGGGAGGAATGGTGCTGCAAGGTGAAAGGTAAAAACCGAGATATATATCGTGCTGGGTATCAAAAAACTAGAAACTATAGGTAGAAAAACCGACCTCCCCAGAGCACAGTAGAAATGCTCCTTCCATCCAGTCTATACGGGTAAGTCCAAATCAGGAGTCGTTATTCAAGGTTCGTAGAAGATTATCCTTTACGGTTTCCACGTCACTTTCCTCCATATTCAGAAATCGAATCTGAGTGAATAATTATTAGTAGCGCACACAAGGTATATATAAGTACTTACCAACTCAAGGCGTACATGAGAGAATAAAACGTTAGGAGGTTAAACTCACCACATCATCGGCAGCACCTACTCCGCCATATAATACGGGCTCGGATAGACTAGCTGTCACTGCTTTCTTAACTCTTTCTTCCCAAACACCTTCCCAATTCCAATCTCCTGGTCTTCTTGGGGAATCGGGCGTTTCCTTAGGCGTGGGGCTGGCGTCTGTTGAGTCAGTGCTATCAGGTGTATCGGGGAAAACCTTCCCGTTGTCGATGCGGTGTGTCCGCCAAGCATACCAGGCACCGGGGTTTCCGGCAGCTTCAAGAGGAATAGAATCCAAAACGTCTTCTTCACTGAAGGTGCTACGTATGTATCGAAGGACCTCGTAAGTAGATATTTCCTTCCCATTTGTTTCGGCAAATCCGGGCGACATGCCAACAGCGGATCCTTTAGAGCCGGGCGTGCCGGCACTACTCATCGATGGAGGGGGAGGTCGGTGAGGAGTCTGTTGTTCGTTTTGCTGTCCGCTTGATTGCGCACTACTGCTAGTATTCAGGCCCCGGCTTGAGCGCCTAAACCAGCCGGGAAACCCATGCCTCAAGCTAAATCCGCCGGGTGGTAACCGCTCGGCATCGGTCGCACTCACAGTACCATTGTCCTGAACGTCGGTCGAGTACATGTAGGTGCTTAGCGGTGTAATTAAGGGGTGAAACATATCGGTCGAGAAGGTAACCAGTGGTGGTAGTCGAGGATACGAGTCGGGAAAGGAGATCTGGAATCGCAACACGGCGGGAGCATAAGGACCTTTTTACTCATTGATTAGAAACTTGTAAGCGTTACCAGACAGCTATGCAAGCAGCCGAAATTCTCACCATCCCGAACGAATAGTACTCCGGACCAAAGACTAGGGTCGCCAGGAGCGAGGCTTACGAATATGCCTTCAGGGTAGATCTGCTTAAGACCGGCACTGTAATTAATAACTGTCAGCTTTAGTACTTAATAAATAAGAAGGATATAAAATGCGAGTGCGAATGCGAACGCAAATGCAGATGCAGATGCAGATGCGCATGCGCATGCACAATGCGGGAACGCGTCGCGTACAACTCGAGCAAGAGGTGCTGCTTTCTCAGCGCCGGTAGCGCGTTTAATTTGGAAGATGTCATCTTATCACGTCGCAGAATACTCAAGGCAAGTAAATTTATAAAGTTGAAGATGGGAGAAACAACTGAGAGGTTGAGACATCTCAGGTCCCTAGGTATCCTAGTAGTTGTTCTTTATGCGTCGCCAAACGGCCGGCGCAAGGGTTAAGAATAGGATATTGTTAATAGGCATTGTAAGCTCTTATCGATAAATCAACTTGGCTGCTTGGGTACCTAAGTGTAATACGTCAGGCTTGTCATATTATGCACACAATTCATACCCCACTTGCCGAAATTAGATATGTAAATGTAAATGCTGCCGCAATTATCACGTGGAAAAGAGTTACTACAGCCTATAGAAGTACCTAAATGTATACCTATGTTACTATTGTAGGTATGTTACTCAAGTGCAGATTCAGATTTCCACAATTCTTGCTCTAAACATATACGCAGAAGCAAAGTGCATGATCCGAGACAAACAACTTAACTAAAACAAGACTTGCAGAACGTAGGTACCTAGGTGGATATCCACAATAAGGATATACTACTAATAAGACAAGATATGGCTATGATAGCCTATAGGATAGGTACCTACCTAACCCACGAGCCAAAAGATGCAACAAAAGGCGAAATAATTCTCCCGAGCACTGACTATCCACCAACCTAATGCCGACATATACTAATTGCGATATGGGACAACCCCTCATTAGCCGGCAATCAGGAACGCCAACCCCCTCCACCCTTGTTTAAGGCTTAAGGGTTATACTATGGTAGACGGTTATGGATTTCCACTTATACACTTGCCTGATTCCTTCACAACCCTCGGGATAACTATCTAGGTAAATATGGATGGGCGGCAGAATGACCGGCTCGCTACTGGTAGTCGTCAAAGCCTTTAGCAGCCGCCCTTCAATAGGAAGAGGCTACGTCTATGTCTAAAGGTGTCCTCACCTACCGTCGTATTTCAAATATTTGTTTTCTATCTCAGTAAAAACAACAGACTTCGTCACACCATAGACACTGCTTCGTATAGACTTACTTGGTGTTTTGGCTTAGATTCTCGATATGTCCGATTATAGGGACTTGCGGATTTCCGTCATTGGCGCGGGTGAGTTATCCCGCCTAGAAACATGATTCAGAAAGAAGACGACCCCACCAAAAAAAGCAAAGCAAAAAGTATAGGGACTAATGTCGCTTCATTATAGGTATGGGCGGCCTCGCCTGTGCCCTCGCCTTCGCCAAGAAGGGGTTCAAGCATATCGACGTGTATGAGACAGCTTCGAACTTAGGATTCGTCGGAGCTGGCATCCAGCTAGCTCCGAACATGGCTCGGGTACTAGACCGTTGGGGTTGCTGGGACGGAATCTTTGCTGAGGCTACTAACATCAAAGCCTCGAGTATCCGCGAGGGTTCGTCAAACCGTGAACTCGTACACGTCCAAATGCCCGACATTGCCGAGCAGTACGGATATCCTCATTGCACGGGACACCGGGCGTCGCTGGCCGGGGGTTTATATGAGGGGTGCCAAAAGGAGCCTAGCATCAAGTTCCATTTCTCAACATCGCTCGCCGATATAATATCCTTCGGACCGGACAAGGCCGTGTTCAAGGTAAAACCACGCAACGGCGAGCCGTATGAAGTGGAGACGGATGTCTTGCTCGGCGCCGATGGAATTAAATCCGTAGTGCGGGCTGCCTTGCTCCGAACACTAAATCTCAGTGGCGACATTGAAGACACAGGACAGGCCGCGTACCGAATCATGCTTACCCGGTCCCAGATGGAACATGACCCTGAGCTTCTTGAGCTTCTTGACGCCGACGTTGCGCTGCGGTGGATAGGCGAGAAGCGACATATCGTGGCGTACCCTATCAGCAACAAGACCATCTACAATTTATCGACGTGCCAGCCTGACGTTAACTTCGCCGAAGCGCCGAGTATCACGTATACGACACGGGGTAGCAAGTCAGCCATGCTGAATGTATACGCCGACTTCCACCCTATCGTGCAAAAGATGCTAAATATGGTACCCGAGGGTGAGGTGTGCGAATGGAGGTTGCGTTCCCACAGCCCTCTGGATACCTGGATCCTTGGTTCCGTTGCTCTGGTCGGCGACGCCTGTCATCCCACGCTACCTCACCTCAGCCAGGGAGCTGCTATGGCCATCGAGGATGGCGCAGTGCTAGCAGAAGTGGTAAGCCGAGCGCCAGGCGGCGGTTCGGACAGGGAAGCCCTTTCCAAGGCGCTCAAAGTCTACGAGCTACTGAGAAAGGATCGAACGACGACACTAGTCGACCTAGCCGCGGCTTCCGCGCGATCGCTACACCTAGGCGAGGGTAAGGCAAAGGAGGAGAGAGATAAACAGTTTGCGATGGGTATGAAGAAGGGCACGCCCATTCCCGATAAGTGGGCTAGTCCCGAGGTTCAACAGATGATCTATTCGTACGACTGCGTCAAAGATACTGACGAAAGGTTCGACGAGTTGTACGCTACGCTCACGGGTAACCCTAATAACGGCTACGCCAATGGCCAGGCGAACGGTTACACGAACGGGCATACGAACGGGGTAATCGCATAGAAGCTAGAATCTAGGTACCTGTCATAGTGCATTATATAAAGGAGACAGAGGTATGAACCATGATAGCGAAATGTAGTAGTAGCAGCAGTACATATGGAATTGACTCCTTGACGCGATTGCTATCGTTGGACTGCTCAGAAATAGTACAACGCGAGGTATAATTACAAAAATAACCTATTCCGTAGGACCAATAACGCCAGGCTCCCCTTCCAATGGTTATCGTGCTCGTTCCCTCCCTTCAGCTCCCGTCGTCGTTGTCGTCGTCGTCCGGTAAAAAAAGTTGGGAACGGTGAAATGGTATAGTTAGTCGAACCGCCAGACGGTTATTATTACCTCCTCATTAGGTCTGGATCAGGTACCTAGGTAGTCGTTCCTCTCTCTCCCCAACGACCGATTTCATCCACTCTCTTTCCGTCGACGTCTAGACTTTCGTAAGGCTGAGACGAAAGGGTTTACTCTCTTTCTCTCTTCTTCTCTTCTTCCCTTCTCCCTTAGAACAGGCAGTCCAAACAGCAGCAGCAGGCGAGCGCGCCCAGCAGCATGCCCAAGCAGCCGTCGTTCGAATCGCGCTGCTGGTTCTGGTACTGGCCCTGGGGCGGTGGGTAGCCGGGCTGGCCGTAGTATCCCTGCTGCTGCGGCGGCGGGTACGGGCCGGCGGGCGGGTAGCCGCCCTGAGGCTGGGGCTGGCCGTAGTTCATGCCCGGCTGCTGCTGGTAGTAGTTATAGGGCTGCTGCGGAGGGGCGCCGTAGGGGCCTTGTTGCTGGTACGCGGCTTCGGGCGCCTGGGGAGGGGGGGCGTATGCCGGGGGATGGTCGCCTTTGTCGGCCATGGTTTGTTGTTGATGTGGTGGTAGGTTTGTGGTGGTTTAAAGGGCGTTGTGTAGGGAGGCTCGGATCGTACCGTAGCGTACAGCAACGTACAGATCAGATCAGATCCGCTGCAGGGGAAGGGATGGGTTAGGTAGATCTGCACTTCGGTCCCGACGGACAAGGGTCTTCGGTTGAGAGTACGAATTGTATGTAAAGTGGTCGATCGGTTCTGGTAGGTAAATCGTGATTTGATAGGAGCAATCACCAAGGATGGAGAAAGAAGAAAAAAACGTGTGGAAAGATGGAAAAGGGTTTGCTGAGGGGCCGGGAGTTCTTTTGGAGTGGTACAAATAGTGGAGTGGAATGTGCTCCTCGGAACGACGGCTGTTATATTGGTGTTGGCGCCGAGCCTTGGGCGAAGCGTCAGGGGACGCGCGGATGCAGCGAAGTGAATGGCTGATTTAGTAGCACGACTTGGCGGACGAGAGGCGTGAGCTTGGCAAATTTTATTAATTATTTAACTCTGTAGAAAAGATTTGAATTCCAAAAACTAATAGTTACTATTGAAAAAAGAAAGTGTTACTACAGCGAGAACGGAATAGAAGAAGAAGAAGTGGATCGAGTTGGTTACCTCCGTTGAGAGATGTTTTAAAGAAATCGCAAGCTCAGACAGACTGCGTCACAGCTTTGATGCTCAGATAGGACCCACAAATACCTAAAGTACAATATGCACATATGTACATAGTACCTGCGATACAGGTGAGATGTGGCTGTGAACACTTGCTCATGTGGCACGGTAACAAGCCAACATTGAATTCAATTAAACATCATCAATCCATCTCCTCTTTGAGGTTTGCATCAACCAACGCCACATTCGCAGCATCATTCAAAAAGATAAAACGGAAATTCAAATACGACAAATCACAACTCATAGCAAAGGTGAAGGTGAAGACTCTTTTACTGCCTAAACTGGGAAATTTCAGAAGGAATCACTGTAAACCTTTACAAATAATTCGAGAAATTTTTAATAGTTATTAAACCCTCGAACTTTTGTTTGCAAGCTAAAAATTCATGATCCTTCTTATAAGTCTTTCTCCAGAGAAATAAAGGGGACTGACAAATACATTAAGTTACCTACCTAGGTACCTACGTTCGCATGTGTGAGTTGATATCAATAATTTCAATTATATCGATCCGGTAACAGGTCATAGGATGGTCATAGGATTCTCAGTACATCCCTGTTTCTGCATAGAGCAGACTTTATTTATAGTATGGGTATTTATTTGCTAAAAGGTTCAAGTTCGCTTCAACGGATCAATAGTCTTTGCACTATCCGAGGAATTACAGCCAATTTGATTATAATTATTATTTTTCTTCTAACAAATCATCTTATGTCCAGGCACTTCATTCTTATAGCTATCTAACCTACCCAGCTTTAGTTGGACGCTTTATAACCAGCTAGTCAAGTCGATACCTGACACGAAAAGGAAAGGCCTTCTAATGGCTGAGAATACTTTAGTATTGCCGTCGATTGCGGCAATGCAATTAGAACCTCATCTACCTCCATCATCGTCACCATCAGCATCCTCTGACAAGGATATATCTTCATCGTCTGAGTCACCTTTTGTTACGCTAACATTTGCCACGTCTCTCGACTCAGCATTATCCCTCGGCCCAGGTATGAGGACAACCCTCTCAGGTCTGAAGTCAAAAGCTATGACCCATTATCTCCGTAGCCGCCACGACGCCATCTGTGTTGGAGTTGGGACGGTTATCGCCGACGATCCAGGATTAAACTGCCGTCTCGCGGCTGATGCTCCGCCTCTAGAGACTTCACCGACTGCCGATACCGCCGGCGTCGGTGCTCTCCTAGGACTTGCTTCTGTCTCAACTAAGCAATCTGTTATCGATGAAACTAATGCTGCCATCACTGCACGTCAGCCCCGGCCCATAGTCATCGACCCCAAGTTACGTTGGGATTTCACTTCAGAGAGCAAAGTGATGAAGCTAGCTCGTTCAGGCAAGGGTTTAGCTCCGTACATCATAACGGCTATACCTAACCCTCCAGAGGAGAAAATGAAGCTATTGCAAGATCTCGGCGGGAAGTTTATCATCCTGACTCAACCCCAAAACTCTGTGCCTGGTGTCGATCCAACCAATCGCCGTTTCGATTGGCACACTATCTTAGCGGCTGTGCGGAACGAGGGATTGCAGAGCATCATGATCGAGGGCGGCGGCGAGGTGATCAACTCACTCCTTTCTCAAGAGAACTCTCATCTAGTTGATTCGGTCATAATAACTATTGCGCCCACCTGGCTCGGTCAGGGGAGCGTCTTTGTTTCGCCACCTCGAAGTGTTGATGCCAACGGTAGCCCACGTGCTGTAGCTCGGCTTACGAACATAACGTACATGCCCCTTGGGGAAGATCTAGTGCTATGCGGAAATATTGCATCGAGAGATTAACACCTATAATTATGTTATTGGTCCTTTATAAACTGTTTGGTGTATTGTGCTTGGTGGTCGTGTGGCTCCAAATACTAGACCCGTCTCGGATCTTTTTCTGGTGTAAGGGTTTTTTTTTTGGACATTCTAGATCCCAGCTTCCATACATCTATTAGTTAAAGCTTATGAATTCGCCGGCAACGGTTCAGCGGTTTGGAAGGCAACATACGGACGATATAGTCATTTGCCTAACCCACGCGTATCTGTACACCGAAGACAATCTCAATCGAGTCCTTCTGAGCCTTAGTTATAGAAATTAATGGATAACCACTATGAATAAGGGCACAATTATGTTCTTTGGCACTAGATACCAGTGATCAGATGACTAGAGTCGGATCGCAGTATTTTCCACCAGGCCGTATTTTACCAAGTATTGATAAGAGCCAGGACTGTAACACTATTAACATGATTTCCGCCCGAAATCATGTTTCCAATAACACTTGTATTCGAAGAGTCAGACGTTCCAAATAGCCTGGGCTAGATCAAAGCTAGAGGGGAGTCCTGTTCAACTACCTGTACGGTTTCCCTCCGCGAGTCACAACACGACAAATATATATCACTACAACACCAAAAATCATCACGTACGACCATAGGATCTAGAAAACTCGGGATCCCGTCCGCTCTCCCTTAGATAAACTGGATACCGCCGAACTAGTAGTCGGGTCGGTGACGACCGGCGAATCCTCGGTGTTGTACGTTATTCTTTTTTGGTTTCTTTCTCTCTTTTCGGGGGGTGGGTTCTCAAGATATGAGGCTAGGCTTAGACCGTCGTTTAATAGGACCAACTAGAGGGGAAAGTTGCCATGGCGGCGGAGCTAGTTTTTTCTGGAATACCCTCTAGTAGTTGCCCTTCTAAGACGATAGGCTGGGTTACGGGATAGATATTGTTTCCGGTGTTGAGACTCAGTGTCTACCTAGGTACTAATATGAACAACACCAGGTCATTCATTTAGCTTCAAATAGTTCTTGGCTATATTAAGCGAGGTTAGTAGTTATATATACGTGCGGTAGCATCTATCCTACGCCTTATACTTAACTATTCGATGAAGATGCCTTACTTCTAACTAGATCGCCATCATGACACAATATAGGCAGTCACGGGGGAGCGATTGGACGTTTATATAGGATCACGAACCTGGTATTCAGAGCCCTAGGAAGGAAAACATGTCTTTATGTATCGCCGCTTATCTGGATATCTCAGGGTAACCTCTAGGCGAGCCTTACAAAGTCCCATTCGAAGTAACATGGTATCATCACAGAAGATCCTAGCAGGTGTATATATATAGAACTCATACAATGCTCTCTGATTTCCATTCAACTCTTACATACGGAGTCTACAGTTACATTTAGTTAACCGCTTCGTGGTATCACTAAATGTTTCGGGGTACCTGAGTCCTAATATCTACTACTTACCAAGTTCATGATAGTAACCGCTCGTATCTATTAGCTTCCATCTTGCTCTAGGATGGACATGATATTAGATTAGACAACTAGGAAAGCACGTTACAGAATCATGAATGGTTATGAAAACTGAGCGTAGTTGGTATCTGGTAGGTAGGTTAGGCAGTCACATAGTCATAAAATACCAACCAACTAGAGAAATATGTGTGATCAGAACCTGTTAGAAAGTTCAGAAGGGCACTCATTAATGAGATATCTAGAATAGAAAACTAATTTTACTTAATCAGCGGCACAATCTCAGTCAACTCTTTAATATTCTGCTTAGTTACTAGGTTGTTTTACATTACATGTTCGCATCGTCGCGTATATTAGGTAAAGCCAGCGCGTATTAGGGGACCAGGAGAAGACTCAGTTGAAGACACTAAACTTCGACTACGTAAACTAACTCACATATCTGCAATATTAGAAAATGATATTGCAGAGTATTATTTTCCTATCTATCAAGAATCACATAAATGAAGCTGGTTAATCTTTTACATAGGCGTCTACTTAGACTACCTCTCAGCAGGCCACCATACGGCCTGAACACATACACTACCTAGGTAGTCTCCGGATTTAAAATGAGCTACGGGGAACCTGCAGCGTCTCCTTCTTAACTTACATTGTATCGTCTATTATGTCTATCATGTCTATCTAGAATTATCATTACAGATGCCATCGTTTCGAACGACTCCTCAAGTTCCGTAGCACTGCATTGGCACCACCACTCACCCGTGTCATTAGCGAGGAGAGTGTTCCCGGACGTATCCTAGCGTACGAAAGGTGTAGCTAAAGCAATAATGACTCACGAGAACAGCTCTCGGGCGATTGCATGAGGACGCCTACCTAATAAGCCGCCCGGGCTTGCCGCTACTGCCAGAATCGTTGTCGTCACTCGATGATCTGCGGCGGTGTAGTTGTTGTCACGGCCGGTTCGAAGCTAATTTGGGCACGAAGCAAAAGTAAAGTTACGCAGAATTTCGCTTACTTTCCCCTATGAAACATATTGGCTGGGAGTTCGGCCCGGCATCTGCTGTATTCCCTGACAGCCTCGGCTTATCAAAGTGACCTGTCTTCTCCTCTTCCTCGGTAGCAGAAATGACCCTGTGGCGCTGAATATAACCGAATTAACGAGAAAGGAGATGGCACGCCGGTCACCGAAGAGCTGGAAATATTGGCAGAGTCGCAGCATTGATGCCTTACCGGGCTTATGTTCATCTCTTGAGAACCTCATACAGCAGCCCCCACGTTCACGCCAGCCCTATACGTCAACGCGTTGGGAAATGCAGAGTCCCAAGGAGGCACACACACAGGCACACACACACACATACAGTGACATACAGGCGCACGTACAATACACACGCACATACCCCTCTAGTATGAAGGTGGGCGCAGGGCGCACATGCATAAAGAATCAGATAGAGATATAACGCTGATGTTCTAAGGTTAGGATCGACTACCAACAACCCGTATGTGAACAAGTAGGTTACCCGCATAGTGGTAAGCTTACGCAATACCTACTGCATACAGAGCTATCATTCAGCATCCACCCAGCTCCGAATCCCCGTAACCGGAAAGGGTTGTGGAGTGGGACGTGTTAAATGCAAGACATGGAGATCGTATTGGTTACTGGGAACGAACTGGTCCTGGTCGATCCAGTAAACGGTTTCTGTCGCCTGCATCGGAGGGTCATGCCTTAGCGCTCATCATCCCCTTCCCCTCTCCCCCCCTTCCACCCCCATGCAGATCTGACAGAGGAGCTCGGGAGCTCTCACCCTCGCCAGCTTTTTAGCGAGTTGGATCCAGACTGTCGGTTGCATCTTACTAAGTTCCCGTGAGTAGGAGGTGGTATTCCAGTCTTGGAAAATGCAGCTAGGGCCCGCGGCCCGATCCCGCTTCGCTTCGTCAGTGGTCCGAAGAAGAAAAGGAAAACAATTAAACAGACACCCCAAATGCATAATACGATTTCTTATTCCCGTTCCCTACTCACCTAGACGATCATGTGGTTCGGGATTTTACAATACGAGGTTAATCCCATACTCTGTCAAGGAACGGTAGAGCCACCAACCCGGCTCTACAGCAATCAAAGTAGCATTCTTCTTACCTGCCGACGTAGTGTTGATAACAATACCACGCCTGAAGCTACCTAGGTGCTTGTATCTTATCTGCGCCTGGTCAGAGGTAGAACTTACAGGGTGCTCCATACGCCCGAAGGATGGTTATTCGATTACTCAGATGACAATCTGGGCCCCGTCAGCCCAGATATTTGGCTTAAATATTACAAGACAGGACTATACGTGACACAAGGTTGCCCGGAATCTTATGCCGTATGTGGCTTACGGACGCCATGGTACACGAGATGCAAGCTCGCAAACAGTTGTATACACACACTCACACAGCCTTGTAGTTACCAGCTTAGACTCGGGGTTTGTTATGAACCTCAATCAACCCCGAGAAAAAAAAATCAAGTCTGGGTCAGCTTATATCCTGCTTTTCCGGGCTTCAACTGACTTGCACATACCATGCCATACCATACCGTACCCCACGAGCAGAGACAACGGAATAGGCTCGCCCTACCCGCTGCGGGGATGTAAAGCGGCATTAGCGTAGCCGGGCTGCGCTGCACTGCACGAATTGCAATCGCCTAGAACTCGCTTTCCAGAAGAAGCCGATGATGGATCCTCGGTTCAGGGCTCGGTATCATATGGTTGCTGACCACTCGACCCCAAAGGAAGTTCTTGCTTCCCGCGCCGTCAGCTTCGAGAGAGAGAGAGGTGCCCAGAGCTCAAGTATACACCAAGTATCAAGAACATCGGCGACGTTATAGCGGTGAAGGAGACGGACGTATTGTAGGTATGTAGCATGTTATACAAGTGGTATATGAGGTTCCATTAAGGCTCCATTGGGTAGGTTCGAGGGTTTAGGAAGGGAATATTCGAAGGAACTCGTCATAGGCTCACCTATATTCTCACGTAACTCTATTAATTTCATATGTTATACCTTAGGCCCCTAACCGGTGAGCGAAAGTAGTCGTCTCAGGCAAAATACGTACGAGTGGGTGGGGAAATGAGCTCTACGAATTCCCCGATAGGACAGTCTTGTATGTGCTATATTATTAGGTACACTATTACCACTCTCTTGGATCTCGGTACTAGCCGACGGACACCTCCACACGGAAGCAAGGTATACGATATTCCATGAGACGCGCCATGAATTTCTTTATACCTAGGTGCCTATAAGCGAGTATAATGCACTCATATACTTTTATACTAGTTAGTTAAGTATTAGTCTTTGGTAAAGACTATAGGTTTTCCGTAAGACTTTGAAATATTCCCACTTAGGAATCATGTTAACCTTAGGTTAGGTAGACTCTTATACAGGTAATGCATCTGAGATATAAGCTCTGAATATACCTTAACCAATAGAGTGGAGTTTACTATAGTTAAATGTAAGACTTATATAGACCCAATAGTCTTGGTACAGGTACCTAGGGTACCTGTATAGGCAGGCCCTTTTTGCGCGGGTGGTCTTCCTTTTCGTGCGTTCTCGAATTTGTTAATAAACCCCATTAGCCTATATTACAATTGATCGAAGTGCATATTATGGATATTATATATTATAGACCCTAAATTCCAATATTCTGCCATCAAGATTCTATAGCGGTGATTCTTTTTCTGGAACTTATTATTTGGGAATTATACGGCTGTTTAACAATAAACTAAAGTATGGTAATAGCATAAAGTTCGCGCCCATTTAGAAAACATACAATGGCCCAGGAATGTTTTTAACGAAAGCTATATTATAATTATTAAAGTGATATTATCAATATGGTAGTTTTAAATTTCTATAATAACTAGCTTATTAAAGATAGAGAAAACCAGTTAGGTTAGTTAAGCTTAATATATTGGAAAACA